CAGCAATAAATGAGATAGCCCTGCCCTTCAGGGAGCTTGGTTGCCTTAGAGACACATAAACATAAACGGGATGGTGTTACAGATGCTGCAGTATGTGTATGTCTGGGGGTAACACCCTGAAGGCTGTGGGCATTTCTATCTACAATTTCAGGAAAAGCAAGTCATGTGGGAGCTGAGATTAGAACGCGTGGGCATTCACCAGGCGGAACACAGACCCCTGGGAGCGGGAACGCGAGAGGAGGGCTCTGGCAAAGCTGCATGTTTCGGGCATTCAGAGTAGGTGGGCACAAGGCAGGGCAGGCTGCGCCTCACAGAGAAGAGAGGATCTTTCATGCCATGCCAAGGAGTTGAAATGTTCTTCTAGGCAAAGGGGTCTCCAAAAGAGCCTTTATGCCAAATTATGAAATCTGAGCTAATCTGCCCTATTTTCATTCACAAGGCCTGTGAAAGCCAGAGTTAAAAAAATGACAAGATACAATAACAGGAGTGATCATCATCTTTCCCTGAAATACTTCTGAGCAGCTCTTTTACCTGTTGCCTACTCGTCGGTTCGGTTTTAGCAGTGCTCAGCGGACAGTGCGATTGCAGGGCCACCTGGCGCTGACGCAGGCGGGCCTTTCCGTCCCTCCCACAGACTCGCTGGGCAGCCCGGCTGCATTTCACCGTTAGGTCGACATCGCGGAGCCCTGGTGTGAAATGCAGATAATTATACTTATATTCACTGGCCTCATGGGACTTCTCCTTAATATTTATAGCTGCAAAATACTTCGCAGTCATTTTTATTAATAGTTACCAGATGTGTCATGAGGATTAATGAGTTTATGATCTGAGATGTTTTTGAGTTCCTGAAATAGGAGGCAGCTGCCCGCACGGGGGGTATGTGAAAGCGCATCAGAATGCAGACAATATGCATTTGGAGATTTTAGCTGTTCTGTGTGAAGGATAAACGGTACACTAAGATTTCACTATACTTTGTAGGTATTTTTGGTGCCCTTAATAAGGCTGCTGAATTCATCACAGGCCATTGCCAAAAATAGAAAGCTAAGTAACCCCCAGCCCGCACACACACACAAGCGCACACACACCCCAATGCTATTTCTGCTAATTTCATTGTTACCAGCCTCTTGTGCATCATCTTTGACTCTGTTTCTCCCACCTATAGCCAATTGTTTTCAAGTATTCAGCAGTCTCCTTTAGATCTCTAAATTTTTATTCCTATTTTCTTCTCCTCCTACTATCCAAATTCAGGCTCTCCTTAGCTCTCCACTGAGCCATTAAAGCAACTTCTTAGTTGATTTCTCCACATTCCATATCTCCCCTATTTAAGAATTAACCTTCTGGAGACAAGTTCTTACTCCTGCCTCCCCCAGGAGCCTTCGGGAAAAGCAGCCGTGGGTTCACAAGGCCGCTGCATGGCCCCAGCTGGCCTTCCTCTGCCGTCCAGTGCTCACCAGGCTGGGTGCCCCCCTCTCCTCCAAAGCCGCTGGACGGCTGAGTAGCTTTTCCCAGGGCAGAGCTGTGAATACGGGGACACATCAGACACAAAGTGGCTCTTTGGCCACCCTGACTCTGTCACGCCCTGGGGAATGCCACTCAGTGTTCAAGGCCTTTCTGTGGGTGAAATCACCTCATCCAGGTGTTCTAGGCCTGTTCCACTCCTGTTTCTCTTCCTCCTCTGAATCTTCTCTGCTGTGGACATGTCCATTCTAACATCTATCCAATTTATTGACATTTTAGTTATTTATGTACAAGTCCTTCCCACCAACTAGATCGTAGTCTTTTGAGAGCAAAGCCTGTGTCTTTCTGATCGTTGTGTTCTTTATGGTGCTTATTGTCACTGTGAGGCCTGACGGGTCTTTGTTGAACTGAATTTTACCTTGGCTCACAGCCTCAGTTACCTTCTTCATGTAGGACCATGTTGTGGAAAAATAAGAAATATACGAAGTAGAAAGGATCCTATGGTGAATCTACTTGTCGGGTAGCTTCGATAAAAATTGACACATGGCCAGTTTTGTAGTTCGGCATCCCCAGTCTCATTAGCATGTACCTTGCAAACATCCTCTGTTGGAGGTGTCTTCCTGTGACCCTGCTCGTCCAGAGCTGGTGTCCTGCAGCCACCATTACCCAGCACCCCATGGGGCGGGCACCACGAGGTTGCTGGTGCATGAACAGGAGGTCAGAGTGTTGCCGTTACACTCCGACCTGATCTGATCTGATTTTTCGACGTGGTTTCTAGCCATTTCAGATGTGTTTAATCATCTTCTTTTTTCTGGTTCACACTTTGTTTGGATGGTGGGAGTCAGGAGGCATCGGTATGAAGCATGTTGCCCGAGTAAGAAGTGGCAGTTGAGAGGGAGCGCCGGTGACAGGAAACCCGTGAGCGGCAAACAGGAGGTTTCCGGCCTCATCTCCTGGAGCCACGAAGTCAGAGCAGCAGGAATCCCCAAGGTCCCCTGGGTTCCTGCCTAGTGTCACAGCCTGTCTGGTCCTTTAATTCATTTCAGCTCATATTTTTGAAGCATTTACTGGAATTTTCTAATTACTCTGAGTCATAAAGAAAAGTATAAATTATGTTTCTTTGCTTTATTTAGGAGGGCAAGAGTTATATCATCTTAGAAAAGGTTTCATCTTGGCTGGCTATAGTTCATCATTGGTAGGGTTTTTATGTTCTTATACTTTAGGGTGGAATAGTTCACCCCAATTTTGTCTATTGTAAATAAGACCTAACTGAAGAATTTTGGAGTTCGAACTTAAACCTTTATCCTACTTCACTAACAAGTACGCTCTGAGTACCTTTCCAGTTGTGGGGGACTTCAGATACTACGTGAAAAATAAGTGCGAAGGTGCGGCCCCTGCATTCAAGGCCAGTGCCATAGAGTGGAGGGCGCCTGTTTGAAAACAGTCCCATTGTCAAGTTATCCGTGGGGGAGGGAAATGGGGAGCTTGTGTGAGGGCGAATCAGGAGGTGCCTAGAAGGGGAAGGCACTAAGTGTCCCGAGAGTCGGGGAGAGACTCCTTCCCCAAGGCATTGAAGTTGAGGGGCGGGCTGGAGGCCTTCATCGTGTGCAGTGGCTGCCACCGGGGCGTCCTCCCTCTGCCTCTCCTCTCCGCCACTCACACTGTCTTCCTTAAACACAACTCGGATTCTAGCCCTTCCTGGCCTTATACCACCAGGGACTCCCCAGCGTTTGCAGGATGAAGAGCATTTTTCCTTTAGTTTGTCCCTAGGTCCTTCCACCTTTTCAGCCTTATCTCCTAACCTTTCCTACTTAATTGCCTCTCCTCTGTGCCTCTTCTCAAATCTTATCACTGTTCCCTTATCTTCAGCAGAATGGGTTTCTTCTAACTCTTTGCTTTCCAAAGCATTCCCAAGGCCCGGTTGGCTATAATGGTTCCCACTGGAGAAATGCGGTGATTTGGTGCTGTGAACTCAGTTCACTACCACCCTAACTGAGCCGTGTTTTTTGAAGATTTTATTTATTTAATTTCTCCAGAGAGAGGGGAAGGGAGGGAGAGAAGCATCGACTGGTTGCTTCCTGCACGCGTCCCGGTGGGGAACTGGGCCCGCCGCCCAGGCTTGTGCACTGACTGGGAACTGAAACCCTGACCCTTCGCCCTGCAGGGCGACGCCCACTGAGCCACGCCGGTCAGGACGAGGCATTTTGTTTTAGGCGGGCCCTTCTCCCTTCAGTTAAGAGTTATGGCCTGCCCTGTAGAAAGCAAGACTTAGTGTCTGTAGACTCTGCCCAGAGTCTCAATGACATAGGAGCCTCAGACACCCAGAGATACCACTTGGAGGACCTGGAGTGCCCAGGACCAGAGGAGGGAAGTGGGGAGATAGGGAATCCCTATCTGCACAGTTTGGACCAGTGACCAGCTGCTTTTCTTATGGACCCAACAAAAGCAAAGACCCTCAATCTGTGTGGAAAGCAACTTTGACACTCAGTTTCCTCCTGTCTTGTGAGAGAGGACTGGGAGTGTTTGACCTGCCAGGATGCAGCCCTCTGAGAGCTGAGCATTCAGAGGTCTGGACTCTTGCGTTGGGGCAGGGAGACCTGGGAAGGGGAGAGGCTTGTTGAGGTTAATAGAGACAGAAGCGGTGGATTCCCGGTATCTTCAAGATCATCGTGTCTGCTTCGCTGTTCCACTGCCATTATAAACTCAGCCACTACTAAATGAACTTCTGATTCTGTCTTATCCTGATGCCATTTTTTTTTTTCTTTAATGCTGCTTGAATGGCATGTCCAGGGTACTGAAGTCCTGTCTTGGGAGGTTGCTTGCCCCATCATTCAGGCACTCATCACTCACTCCTGCTCTGCTGCTGGGCCTCGTTAGTGTGTGGGCCTGCGTGGGCCTTTATGTGTGTCTCCATTCAGGTTGCCTTCCGCCGCCAGGCCATTCTTCCCAGCCCCCCGCTTGCTCTCTCCGGCTCCTGTGGCCATCCAGCCACATGACCCGCCTAGGTTAGTTTTGGGTACCAAAGCCTCTCTCTGTATGTCTGTCCTGCCCTTGTCCGACGCCCAGGATCGTGCTCCAGCCAGGTTGGCTTCCTGTGGCTGCGCTCGCCAGTCTTCCGTTTGTACCAAGAGTTTTTTTCCCTGGCGTCAGGGCTTGGTTTGAATTCTACCCCATGCCTGAAACCTTTCCTGATCTTTCCTAGTAACGTCTCTCTAGAAAGTCCTGTAATGCTTGTCTGTGCACACACAGCCCGTGTGTCGTACGTGAGTGGGAAGGCAGCCTGGGAGTGTGTTGAGTCCACCACATCCATCACTGCTTCTAGCCTGTGCCCCGTGTTGCTGAGTGGGGGCGGTGGGGGCGTGGAGTCTGCTGGCTGTGCTACTCGTTGCTTCCATTTCCTCACACAGTGTGATGCCCCTGGCACGTGGCACACCCAGTGGGCAGTGACCTGGTAGGATTCCAGTCTGTTCGGTTTAAACCTTCTCTGGTTATCTCTGTTCTTCTCCGGATCCCTCACGCCCGCCTATTTGCTGTTTTCCCAGCCGGTGCCCCGAATCCTGGTGCAGCCCGCCCTCCCGGACGCCAGGACAGCCAGGACGGCAGAGGTGAGCTGGCTGAGCTGCCACATACGGGGGTGGCGATGCTGTAATTGTTGAATTCGTACCCGTGGCTGTTTTATTTTAGCTTTCCTGTTTTGATAATTAACCATAATATAGGCCACTGTTTTCTGCCTCTATATTTTTCTCGTTACACTTGGCTATTTTCAACTTGTTAATCATATGATTGCTAAACTTTTAGGTGCTTGACTGCTAATGTAGTCTGCTGCTTTAATAGCCCACTGCTAGGCAAAGGCGATTTCTATAAACAGAACAATCTCCTTATTCTAAGTGTTTGCTTAATTCTCAGTTTTACATTTCATTCTGATTCATGATATCAGCGTGAAAAGACTAATGCTAAGCTGGGGAGAAAAATAGTCTCTTATGATCTCCCACAGATGAACAGCACTTCTAATCTTATGAATAGCAAATCTATTTTCTCCCACTGTGTGCTCATTCTCTTAGGAAATGCTATATCTTCATAGGAAAATTTTATTTATTAAAACAACAGCAAAAAAAAGCCAAATAATTTGAAAGAAAATTCAGAGCTCCATGAATTCACTGCTTTCTAAAAGGCCCTTTTCAATCCAGCGCACCCTCTGTGTTTGTGAGTTGAACTGAAGGTACTACCACGGTCCCTCCTTCCCGATGGGTGATATTTATTATTTTCCTGGCCAGGACTGGGGCCCCAAGGCCAGGGGGACCGAGTGAGAACAAGTGCCCTGCTGGTGAGGGCATGTGACCCGCCCCGACCTCTGCATCTCAGGGCGGCCTTGCTGCCCGTCGTGGTGATTTGCTTGAGTCTGGGCTTTGGTGGCTGTCTCGGGGGTGTCAGTGGGAGGGCATAACCCGAAGAGGGCAGGGAGGTACCGCTCACACCACCTCTAGTCAAGTGGGAGCGGCTCCTGCAGCGCAGAGCGGAAGGACGCCATCCAGGCTGCTTGCTTCGGCCCAGCAGGGAGGAAAGCAGCAATCAGCGCTCCCTCCTGCCACTCAGGGCCTCTTCTCTGCTGCGGCTGTGGCTCTGACCTCTGATCCCTGGCTTTTCCCTTACTGGTGGTTCTGGCTAAATCCTTTATCCTCACTGGGCCATGTTATGAAATGCACGTGGTAATACTTTTCAGCCTACATTAAAGGATTCATATGGAAGCAAATAGGATAATGCCAAGGAAATCTAAGGCACTGTCTCCAGACTGTCACCTCCTCAGAACAGACCCTGGCTGGCTCTTAGCAGACAGCTGGCATCTGGCAATGATGGGGTTTCACCAGGAGGGGACTAGGGAATGCCTCCTATTTCAGGATCATAGCTATTGTTCAGACCCTGGGCTCTGGTAATTTGTTCGTGTATTCTTCCCTGCCTGGTCAGTGATATTAAAAATAAAATATAAAAGAATAAATAAAACATGTATAAGTTACAAGAGAAAAATGATTGAAGGATTGCCTAATCTTTTAGAGTATTTATGCTGGTGACAGTTATTGATCTATTGGATTTAGTAAATTTTGCAGCCTAGAGATCCATCACAAAAATGGGCTGTTAATCTCAGGAGGTGCCGTTAATTTCGTACCCTGAAAGTGTGCCTTGTGGGGAAAGGAGGGCCTCTGGAGACAGGAATATAAATGACAATTCACGTGAAAATGCATGATTTATCAGACTGCTGAGTTAAGCCAAGTAACTGTAAGAGACTTATAGATCTCAGCTGTTTCCCCGTTCAAATAAATCCTGTATTTCAAATGGAAAATGGCCATTCCTGTAATATAAATAATCTTTCCGTAAATATTGGAAAACATATTTCTTTTTCCGAACAGCACTCTCTCCACCACCCCATCCCATTCCCCATTCCCGCCGTCTCTTTTACCCCGTCATTGTGAATCGGGAATAGAAAGACAATCTGCCAGCTTCTTCAAATGACTTAAATTACCCCCAAAGAACACTCACAAGTACCTCAGCATCAGTAGGGTTTGGATGAGCAGTGGCTGTCGTCATTCCCCATGAGATGGGGCTGTGTGCGTGTCCCTGCCAGAGTGACTCAGACAGAGCAGCCTGAGAGGGAGAGGCCAGCCTCCGCGGCTCCCTCCTCAGCCGCAGCTCCGGGAGGGGGTGGGGTTGTGGGCTGGCTGCTGCTGGGCCTGAGTCTCCTGGGATCGGAGGGCCTCCCGACCCGTGACATGGGACCAGCCTTCAGCAGCAGCTTGAAAGATGGCCTCTCAGGAAGGGCACGGCCTGCGTGCAGCCTCTGTCTCTGCCCCTCCCCTCTGCTTCAGCTGGGAGCAACCCGGCATCAGCCGGCCGAGGGGTGTTTCTTTGGGCCTGAGCTGGTGTAGCTGAGCTGAAGCACTTTCAGGCCCTCCTGTGAGATCAGCACTTCAGTTTTGCCGAAGAGGGTTCTTCTGTCCTCTAGTGATTCTCTTGGTCTCCCTGGGAAGTCGGGAGTGGGCAGGGGATCTCTTTCCAAGAGAGCAAAGTTCTTAGCGTGAGTTCAGGGAGGCAAGGGTTGCTGGGGGAATGAGAGGACAGAGATTTTTGTGTGCACCTACTGTGTGCCACGCTCTGTGGTGAGGCCTTGCCTGCCTCGTACTGCCCGACCCTAGGGGCAGCCGGGCCCATGTTATTCCCCACACCACCAGCAGGGTGTCCGAGAATTCGCCTCATCGGACACTGCCTACCCAGAGGTCGCGTCATATTCTGCTGGTTAAGGGCTCAGTTCCACCAGGCTGTCCCCCAACTCGGACACCAGTCTGCAGTCCAGGTTGTCACCTGTGCTTGTATCGGTCTATCTGTAAATCAGATGTTCCCATGACCCGCTCCTTGGGAACTGATTACTTTGCTAGAACGGCCCACAAAACTCAAAGGAACATTTTCCTACCAGACTGTGAGCTTATTATAAAAGGAAGTAACTCAGGTATAGCCAGATGGAAGGCAAGCAGAGGCTAAGGCACGGGGAAAGGGCGCTAAGCTCCTGCGCTCCCTGGACGCGATACTCCCTACCCCTCCACGTGCTCACTGCCCCCAGAAACTCTCGAAAGCCTGTCCTTTTTATGGAGGTTCACAGCTGACTAAATCACTGGCCACAGGTGATTGGTTCATCCTCTAGCCCCTTTTCACTCCCCAGAAATCAGGGGGTGGGACAGAAAGTTCCAACCCTCTCAGCAAGGTTGCTTCCCCTGGCAAACCTGCCCCCATCCTTAGGGGATTTCTAAAAGTCACTTTATTTACAAAAACTCAGGAGTTGTTGGAAGAGAGTTGTTCTGAATATCAAGACACCTTTATTGCTCTTATCTCTTAGGAAATTCCAGTGGTTTTAGAAAGAACTCTGTGCCAGAAATGGGGACGGAGACCAAATGTATATTTCTTATTATAAATCACAGGACCACAGGCATCTGTTAGCATCTCTGTGCAGAAGGGGAGGAGATGGAAGGGGCAGGCGCAGGGGTGTGCGCCCAGCACAGCAGGGCCCCAGGGTCTAGTGGGCGGGCAGCCAGGCCCCGCGGAGCAAGTAGTGGAGCCAATCCCGGTGCAGGCTGCCCTCCTGCACAACAGCGCCTGTCCCGCAGCAGCAGAGCGGTGGGAGTTCAGCTCTCCGCACAGCCTCTGCCTCCCCCTGTTGGCAACACGTGCCTGACCTTGAGTTCTGACCAGTCGCGCCCCCCTCTCCTGCTTCAGGCTCCCCGGGATAGCATGGGGGTGAGTGTGGCCCCAGACGTGACCGTGCAGGCTGCTCCAGTGCTGAAGACCAAGGAGAGACCAACTCAAGTGGCTTCGCCGCCGCAGTGCTCGGCCGCCAACACCCAGGCCCCCGAAGTGCAGGACGGGCCGCCCAGCCCCCTGAGCGAGGCCTCCAGCGGGTACTTCTCACACAGTGTCTCCACCGCCACGCTGTCTGATGCCTTCGCCCCGGGCCCCGATGCCGTGGCCCAGGCGGGCGGGCAGACGCCCGGCCCGCCCCCGTCTGTCCCCTGCCAGGCCAGCCCGGACACCGAGCCCCTGTTTCCATCTGCTGCCCCTGGTGCAGACAGCACCCGCCCTGCCCAGCCAGAGGGTCAGAGCAGCCTTCTGTCACTGCCCAGCCCAGCAAAGCAGACTCCACGGGGTGACGGTGACGGCGACAGTGCCAGTGCGGCCCAGGCCAAGGGCGCGGTTCCCTTAGAGAAGCAGGATGAAGAAGCAGGCCCTTCACCTACTCGTCTTCCTGCTTCTGCCCCTCAGGAGTCACCCAGCCCCCAGAGCAGAGATGACAGTCCCCCGGCTACCAGGCCGCTGGGAAGACCCAAGGACCGGGCAGAGCCCGCCCTCGGCTTAGAGCCAGATGTCTCCAAACCGCAGCTGCCTCCTGACCTCCTGTCTCAGTCGCCTGCTCCGACATCCCCGTTCCGAATCCGGAAGGTGCGAACCTCGGAGCTGAAGTCATTCACGTGTATGCTCGGTGGGGACCCCAGCTGCCCCTCTGGCACCCAGGAGGACCTGCTGGCCTCAGGACGGCCTGGTGACAACAGCTCTGGAGGACAGAACCTGGAGAAGCTGGAAGTTTCCTCCGATTCTGAGGAAGCCAGTGAAGTCCCAGAGTGGCTCAGAGAAGGAGAATATGTTACCGTGGGCACCAACAAAGTGGGCATCGTCAGATACGTCGGGCCCACCGACTTCCAGGAAGGGACCTGGGTTGGCGTGGAGCTGGACTTACCTTCAGGTGAGTACTGTTTAGACAGTTCCCTGGCACTGGAGGCCCTGAGCTGCCGTGCGGGAGGGGGGGGGGGTGTGGAGGGCAGGGAGGAGCGGGGAGGGGGGGGGGGGAGGGGATGCTGCCCCCGAACACCTGCTGTGCGCCCTTGGGCGCAGCAGTTGACCTGTGAGCCTCCTTTTCAAAATGAGGAATTTTTTTCTTAGATAAACTTTTTCACAATGTTTTAGGAGTCAGGTTCTCTTTTTTCTTTTTATTTTTTTAGCCTCCAGAAATTTCTCCGAAACCTAAGACATTAATTAAAAGCTATAAATTTGGTAATAAATTTTAATACTATCATTCTTTTTTTTAGTCACAGATGCATTTGCATTTGAACTAGAACTGTAGCTCTACCTGCTGTGTTGGCTCAGGTTGCTGACACTGGGCCCCTGAGGATGCCCAGTTCCTAAGACATCCTCAGGCTCCTTAGCCCAAAGCTGAGACCAGAGGACAAGCCGACCTGGGGCCCGTGCAGGCTCGCCGGTCTCTGAAGGCATATCTAGAATGGTGCAGCGTAAAGCAAAGCGCTTGTCATTTTCAGAAAAACTGAGGGCAGCATTTAAGGAAGTAACCTGTTCTTTAGATGTTGTATTAAAACATCTTTATTGTGAGACAATATACATACCACAAAATCCACTTCATGGGGTACAACCCCGTGGTTCGTGGTGTATTCACGGAGCTGTGCACCCACTGCCAGCATCTAATTTTGGCTGGTTCATCACCTCCAGTGTCCACATGCCCCCTCCTCAAACCCAGGGTAACCTACCCTTAGTCTTGTCTCTCTACAAAGGACATTCATTCATAAGTGGAATCCTACAAAATGTGGGCTTTTTTGTGCCTGGCTTATTCCCTTGAACGTAATGTTTCCAAGGTGTGTCCAGTTATAGGACGTTATTGTAACGTGTGACTCCCACCATCTGGATGGCCAGCATTTTGTCCATCCACTTGTCAGTTGATAGACCTGTGGGTTGTTCCCACTTTTTGGCTGTTGTGAGTAGTGCTGCTGGGAATATTGCTGTGTACTCTTCTGTGTGGACACACATTTCCATGTCTCTTGAGTAGATCCCAGGAGCTCACTCCGAGTCGAACGCTTTGAGGGCCGCCTGACCGGTTTCCACTCTCCCTCCCCTGAGCAGCACCGAGGAGGGCCCGGCCGCCTGCTCACTCCGCGGGGCCTGGGGGCTGGGGAGGCGGGGTGTGAGGACAGCCCTGTGTGGCCAGGCGGTGGTGCGGCTTGGGAGGGAGGGGGAGAGGGCGCGGGCAGATGTGCTGCAGTGGAGGGGGCATGGGGCCCGTTGGGGGTGGTTCGCCCTGTGGCACCCGAGGCCAGGGCTCCCGAGGCCAGCCCCACATGGCTCTTTGTCTCTGGGCCCCTCAGCTCAGCTTCTCAGTCACTCACTGTCTTTAAAAGTAATTTTGGCAAAGTATATCATACATTGGACGTGGTTCTAGAAGATTATTGTAGCACAGGCTGGAATATTTTTTAAACTCCATTTCCACTGAAATGCAAATGGGAATTGCAAAACAATTTGTATTTGGAATTAAATTTAAGAATTAAAGGGAGGTTAGCAAATAAATGAATTCATCCAACAAATGTTTATGCACCTACTATGTTTCAGTCACTGTCCTAGGCTCTGGGATTACCTTCTGAAGCAAAACAAAATCCCTGGTTTCACCGGACTTTTATTTTAGAGGGGAGACAATTATTAAACAAACAAAATTTGATAGTCGTTAGCGCTGTGAAGAAAATAAAATGGCCTGAGCAGATAGAGGATGGCGGGTGTGGGAATTCTGGAGGTCAGCGGTCCCCTGCCTTTTTGGCACCAGGGACTGGATTCATGGAAGACAGTTTTTCCACTGCTGTACAGCCTGGTTCCTAGCAGGTCCCGGGGCCGGGGGTTGGGGACCCCGGCTGTAAGTAATACCAAGGAAGCAAAGGCAGGAGTGATGTCAAGGAGGAAGCGGAACTGGGGCAGCGTCGGGCCCAGGGCACACGGGGACCAGCCCCGCACAGGGACCAGCTCGCTGCATTTGAGGGGAGACTGGAGAGGTGAGGCGGCCAGTTCCCGACGGGTGAGGTGTGACAGGAAGACAACTGCTGTTACGAGACCAGACTTGGGGTGAAGGGTGGGGCCAGGAGGGCCGCAGAAGAGGCTGTTGTGGACATCCACACCGGGCTGTGCCGTGGAATCAGGAGAAGGATGGCGGGGGAGCCCTAGGACTGAGGGGTGGCAGTCTGTCAGGGGTAGAAAGGGGTCAGGGTGGCCCCTGAGTGTGGCCCGAGACCAGGGTCATGACCCCGTGGGAGAGCCTGGGAGGGCAGGGGGAGCGCAGGGCAGGAGCTGCAGGCCAGGCGGAGCTGGAGGTGCGGGCTGACCTCGGCCGGGGGCGCGGGCAGAGGGGCTACTCTTGGCCTGGAGACACAGCGGAGGGGTGTTCAGGGTCGTGCAGCCAGCGTGGGCGAGCCCCAAGGGAGCGAGACCAGGAGCCCTGTGATGACAGCAGCCAGTCAGTGGGAGAGAACACTGGCTCGGCCCCTGGCCCCTGGCCCCCGGAGAGGTCGTCCCTGGGGACACTGAGGGCTGTCGGTGGAGGCGGGCCTGTTGGGAGCGGGATAGAGAGAGGGCAGGTGAGGACATGCGGACAGTGAGCACAGAAAAGTCATGATCGTTTTTGCTACAAAGATCACATTCCTCACCAGCCCATCACCATGGGATGTTGACTTTTTGGGGTGAGGGTGGCCCCTTTGTTTGGGCTTGTCCACCCCCTACCTGGGTGCTGTGTTCTCATCCTTCACCTTAAAGCCTTTGTTATTCACTTTTGCAAAGGAAGCTTCGCTCCATGTTGACACATCAAGCGTGACATCTGACAATTCGGAAATTTGCTAGTTACCATCCAATAGGTTTAGGAAAAATTACTCTGCCAAAAACACCCGTCCTAGGTTTGCATTTTGACCATTTAGATTGAAAGTAATCTGTGCCCTGGAGTTGGGGGGGGGGGTGCTGTGCCAGCACCGCTTCGCTGGCCTCGGAAACGGAAGGACTGGCCCTGAGGCCTGAGGCCTGGGGGGGATGTCTGTCCCTGGTGACCCCGCTGCATGCCGCCCCGGAGATGGGCACCTGGCCTTGTTTGCTGAATGGTGAGCGCTGGTGGGGGCCATTTGGCGCCTGGGGTCCTGTGGGGAGGGGTCACAGAAGCTGTGAGCTGCCTGGAGCCACCTCTGTCTCCTCTTCCTTTCTCCTTAGGTAAGAACGATGGCTCCATCGGAGGGAAGCAGTACTTCAAGTGCAACCCCGGCTACGGGCTGCTGGTGAGGCCGGGCCGGGTGCGCAGGGCGGCGGGCGCAGGCCGGCGGCGTAGTGCGGGGCTCCGGCTGCAGGGTGCCCCTGAGCCCCGCAGGAGCAGCACCCTCTCCGGCTCCGCCACCAACCTGGCCTCCCTGACCGCGGCTCTGGCCAAGGCCGAGGGCACCGTGGCGCCGCGGGTGGACAGGAGCCACAAGAACCCCGAGGGCCGGAAATCCTGGGCCAGCTGAGCCAGCACCTTCCCCGGTGGACGCTCACAGCAGGGTGGCAGGCAGCCCTGGGCTGGAGTTGGAGCGGGGCGGCCCTGTCCCCTCCAGCCCCCTTCCTGGAGGAAGCAGGCAGTGAAGGCTTTTTGCACGACGCAGGGCTGGTGACCTCCCCACTTCTCCCAGGACTCTGGAAGCTTCGTTTCTTCCTCTACCCAGAGAACAAGGAGGAGGCCTCTCCTTGGGGTAGTGGGTTGAAGGTTCTAGGAACCCAGAGTGTGGTCCTGACTTGTGGGGAAGGAGGCCCTGGGGGCTCACCCCCCCATCCCCTGGTCAAGGGGCTCTTCCCTCTTGGGGCCGCTGTGGCTCCTTCTCTGTTCTGGCAACCCCATTAACCTCTTAATTTAAGAAATAACCCTAACCAGTGCTTCTCTTCCCACAGAGGGAGGGTCCTCCGCCCGCCTCCGGGGCTGGCCGGCTCCCTGGGCTCCCTGCACTCTCCTCGGCCTAAATCCCCACACCAGGCACCACGGCCGGTGCCTCTGGGTGGCCTCTGGGGGCTCCTGGCCCAAGGCCCTGTGTGGCCTGAAGAGGGCCGCGGGGTCCGCCCGCCCACCGGTCCCTTGTCCTTCCCACAGCGGTTCTGAGGGTTTTCTCTGTGGTGTTTTAGCATCTTTATACCCAGAAAGTTTTTCTCCTTGCCATTTATTCCCCTAACAGAGTGTTTGGAATGTATTTATTTGTATTTATTTTTCAAAATCTGAAATGATTCGCGAGTCACAATCGTCTGCACAGGTGCATGAGCCCAGAGCCAGCCTCCTGCCTCGGGCAGAGGAGCCAGAGGATGACCCCCTCCTATGTTCCTTTAATAAAGACACGCAAGTGGCCTTCCCCTAAGATGACAGCGAGAAGTTGAAGAATTATGTTGTGCTTTCAGTCAGTGACAAAATCAGTCAGAGGTGTAAGGCCTTACCTGGTGCAATTCTGGTGTCTGGGTGTAACTTGTTGGCGCCTTGCTACCCGGACTCCCTCGGGAGGGAGCGCTGCTCCATCATCCCCGTGGCGCCGAGCCGAGCCGCACACCAGGTCCTGACGCATGGCCTCGCCCCCTCCTCCCAGGAGCCTTGCTGGGCTCCCCTGCAGGGCATCTGTGGAAGCCTGAAGAGGGCAGGTGCCTGGCAGACTGAGGAGGGGTGGACTCCGAAGGGCAGCCGCGCTCCTGGTCCTTCCTGAGGCAGGACCCCGGGGACACCAGCGCCTCTGCCTGCCACCCAGGCCAGGGCTGGGGCTTGCACACAGCACTCCTGGCTGCCCGTCTTTACATCTCACGTTCAGACTCTTTAAAAACAACAGCCAGAAAGCTTGCTTGCTTTCTTTCTTTCTTTCTTTCTTTCTTTCTTTCTTTCTTTCTTTCTTTCTTTCTTTCTTTCTCTTTCTTTCTTTTCTTTCTTTCTTTCTTTCTTTCTTTCTTTCTTTCTTTCTTTCTTTCTTTCTTTTCTTTCTTTCTAGAAATCTCCGGTTCTGTCGGTATTTGAAGCCCCTCATGAGAAATAGTGCCAGGTTTCCTGCCCCTGGGTGGGCCGCTCAGGGTCTCCACAGGGACGCCCACAGGGCACGGCTGCACAGGCTCAGACCCCACTGGGAGGGGCCCAGGATTGGTTAGCTCCCAGCAGTTCCACGTGGCGATGCTCAGCCAGACCTCGGGCTGGTCTCCTAACCGTCAGCTGTCGACCAGGTGAGGCTGCCTCTCCACCTCCCGGGTGCGCGCAGCTGGCTAGAGCCCGGCCAGGCCCCGGCTCCCTCTGTCGTCCGCTGGCCTTCAACAGCTCTCAGCCCGCCCAGAGTGGCAGCTGCCACTCATCACTCCTCCCCACGTGTTCACAGAAGGGGGAACAGGCCAGGAGGTCAAGAGCACGCCCCTCATTTAGCTTTATCTGAGCACATATTCATAGTTCTGGGACTAGAAGGATCTTCTCATAGGGAATAGGCTACAGCCAGGAAATGTTCAGTGATTTGTTTCCAGTGTACAGGAGTTCCGGCTTCCAACTCCCAGCCTGGGCGCTTTCAGGGTCCCCACGAAACAGACTGCCAGGCGTGCCTTAGCACCTGGTCCTCGCCCCGCCCGCCCCCGCACAGGGGGCTCGCGGGCCGTGTCCAGGTTTTAGTCATTTAACCAACCGCCCTCTTCACGAGGCCCTGCTGGCCCCGCCCAGCGGGTGCCCGTGGCTCCCCTAGCTTAGCCTCCTGGTGCGGCTTCAAGCAGTCAGCTCCCCTGTGACAGCTGCCTTCAGCGTCCCGTCCTTGTGTGCACATCGCCCCTGGCCTGGGAGGTAGGTGTCTTTCTAGTCCTGGCAACCAGACACAGGGACCCGTGGCTGGTGGTTCACCCTCCACTCGGCTGGCAGGATGCTCTGCTGGCTCCCTCCCGAGGGGGTGGGGCCTGCTCACAGCTGCCCGTGTCCCGGGGTGAGGTGCTCTCAGTTGTGTGCTCTGCTTTGCTACTTAACCTCCAGCACAGGTCCCAGAAGTCCATTTCAGTTAGAGTGTCTCCTAGTCTCCATCAGTGTGGTCCGTGGACATAGGTGCCAGCACCCACTTTCTCTCTCGGGGCAGATGGCCCTGCTATGGGCAGGAAGCCGTGCCCCCGGCTCGCTGGAGGGAAGACGTTGTAGAAATGGAAGGTTGTTGGGGGTGAATGATCCTTTCTTACTTGGTGAAGTGCTCATTGGAGCCCATCTGCTCTGCAACGTGGTGGCGGTGATACCAGACAGGGACTGGCCCGGAGCAGGTCTGCCTCAGGCCGGCCTGGCATGTGTGGGCTCTTGATTTCATGTAGAAAAAATTTCACAATACGAGTCCAGGGGATTTTGAGAGGATGCTTATTAAGGCTGGAGACAGTGAGACAAAGGAAGGACTTAGGGTAGAAGAAGCAACAGGGAAGAGCCAAGGCGAGGCTGTTTTCAGCTCCCTGGGACGTCAGAGAGGAAGAGCCCTGAAGACAGGGTCAGGGGGTGAGCCCGGGACAAGCTGCCACTGCCCGCCGCTCCCCTGTTTGCAAACCTCGTGGGGTCCAATAGAGGTTGGGGAGAAATAAAAAGTTCATGCCCAGCAAGGGGGCATGGGCGAACCCCAGAGCCGGGCGCACAGGAACTTTGTCTCGAGGGCTTTTGTGTCTCTTCTGCAGGTGAGAGTCTTAGGGGAGGGTTTTAGCAGAATATTCCTCTGCTTTCCAGGTGCATTTTTAACATGCTCATGAATTAAAATGAGCGTATAGGGGAGATTGGGATGGTTCTTCAGTCTGCATTTCTGTCTTGCTTTTGCCTTGAGTCTCTCTGGCTCTAATCAGGTCTCTGTTGTGTATCCCCTGACGTCATCTGTCCGTGGGTCTGGCCAGCACACCCGGCCTTCCCTGGGTCTCTGTCCTCTGTCTCCCGGCCAGGGGATTTAAGCTCTGTGTTCTCCGGCTGGGGAGGAGGGGGAGAAGCCATTTGCTCTGAAGTGTCCTTGGTTAGGGAAGATAAGGTCTTGCAGTTCACTGGCTGGCTCTAAGTTGTTCAAATTGGTTGGCCTTGTCTGATTATCTGATCTCAGTTTCCCCATCGTACTTGCCCAGGACTTTTCCTCGCTTCTTTCTTTCCTGCCTCAGCAGCAATTTTCCAGAACCACCTTGGGAAGGTCAGTGTGGAGTGAGGGGTGTCATGCTCTCTGTCATTCGGTTTAATTAAATGGGACAGACTACAATGGAATTGACACGAATGGGTTTTTATTAGCTGAAGCTCAAAACAATGGAAGAGCTTTGAGTGATTCAGTTCAGGTCAGCCCTGTTACCTGAAGAGGTTTCAGGACCCTCTTCTTTATTCTCTCACCCCAACTCAGTTCCCTGGGCCTGAGATTCTCCCACTAGTCCTGCCTCCAACCCGAACCCTCCCAGGGAGCCGTGCTACTTGGGGCCTGTGGGGCCCCCTCGGCCGGGTGCTGAGTGAAGCTCCCTGAGACGGAGCAGCTGAGTGGGGTTGGCTGGGGCAGGAGGCTTGTTCAGAGCTTTCAGCTGTTGGGGCCCGTCCTGCAAAAGAAGTCACTCTGCTGGGAGGGAAGCGCTGCCCGGAGCGCTCAGCCGGCCTGGGTTTGTCTGAGGGTGAGCGAGTGTGTCAGAGAGGAGGCGCCGTCCAGAGCTCCGGCAGAGCCATTGCTGCGCGGGGTCCACACGCTGGCCAGGCCCCTGGCTGTCAGTGCCCAGTTCCCTGGGCCTGCCGAGTCCTCGCAGGGGGCAGCGTGTGTGGTCCTGGGCCCACCTCGCTACTTGCTCCGCAGCCTGGACAGCCCTCAGGGCCAGCGTGCTGAGGGCTGGCGCTGGGGCGCCACAGGACACGGGCGCCACCGCCCTGTCATGGTCCCCATCATCCTGGGGGCCGAGCCCTCCTCCTCCTGGGGGTTTGCAGTGCGAGCTGGAAGGAAGCCCGCCCTGTTCCACCCTCCCGTTCCCCCGTGCACTGTGGTGCAGACCCACGTGACTTGGTACTGGCACAGCGGTGCCACGCAGATGTCACTAAAGCCACAAGCCCTGGCAGCACCCGCAGCCCAGCAGGTATTGGGCCGCGGTGTGGGCTTGAGAGTGGCGTGAGGACCGGAGCCCGAGGGAGGGGCTCTGCTTCATCCCCCTTCCTTCCCGCCCCACTAATAAACTGGCCTAATTTTAACTGCAGCCTCCACATTAGGATTCAGTGTGCAGTTCCTTGCAGGGCCCAGGCTGGACCTAGTGTGACAGCAGGAGGGGTAGCTGCGCCACTCGGAAGCCAGTGGGCGGGGGGCAGGCCGTGCCAGCATTGCCGTCTGACACTGTGGGTGCTGCATGAGCACCCCCAGGCAGAAATTGGGCGGGACCCTCCTGACTTCTGCACTGACAGCCCCCACCTGCAGGGGGCTGAGTGGCTGTCCCGATGCCTGGCCTGGCCGTGGGGGCGGGAGGCCAGGGAAACAGCCAGCGAAGGGCCCGTATGTCTAATGAGGGAATGAGGGAATGAGCTCTGAACAGAGCCATTAAAGAGTCTGAGAGGCTTAGAAGGTGCTTAGGTGCCCCCTTCCTTACATATTCACACCCCACCCCCTTAGTTCCCTGTATGTGAGACTGACAAGAAGTTGGTGGGTGTTTACTTTCCTGGCCCGAGGCTGCCTGTTGACCCGCACCTCATGGTGCCTCCTGGCCTGTGTTCCGTGCCCAGGACAGGGACACGATTGTCCCCACGTGCGTTTTCCTTCCAAGAAGCCCCTCGTCCTCCTGCCCGGCTGCGGACATGGTGGGTGTTGGAGCAGTTTGGGGACACCTTCTGTGTGTGTGCAGTTCTGTAAATGTGATGGGTTCACATACAAAGAGGTGACTTCGCTTGGGGGAGGACACTGATCTGCTACATATGAAATGGGAGTTTAAAAAAAATCCAAAGACTGTAATGACTTGTAAAGACTTGATGATTTGTATTGTATAATGAACTAAACCCCTGTAATTTTGTACCATATATGCCTTTCCACCACATGACAGCTGCTTCTAAATAAAATCAGATGATTTCTTGCCTAAGTCTGAGGTCAGTCTTTCCCCACCCCTCCCCTGACACAGAGGTGTTTGGGCTCATTCTAGACTGTTCCACAGGCAGCCGGGTGGCGGGGCCTTGTTCTGAGTGAGCGAGATGGGGCTTTTCACGACAGAGCCTGGGCGCAGGGGTCCAGGGGAGCAGCCGGCCCAGCCCGGCCCCTGTGCCTTTGCCCTTGAGATTAAAGAACCAGGGAGGCCCAGTGGGTTCTGCAGACAGTCTTAAACCCCTTAGATGAGACCTCCCAGGAGCCAAAAACCAATAGAAACTTCCTGGTGGCCTTAGATCCAAGGTAGCTGGAGCTTCTGGGCTCACTGGGTACAGCTGGCCTGGGACTGGGGGGCTGGGGACAGGTCTTTTCTCTGGAGCAGGGATGGCCCAGCTCTCAGGACCTGGCTCCACCACCTGCTTTGACTGTAGAACGGGCCCCATGGCAGACCCCTCAACCTGGGGAGCAGAGGACTTCTCGCCGTTTCCCCGCAGCAGGGCTGAGCCCGGAAGGCTCTGCCTCAAGGTGTTTAGGGAAGGGAGGAGGATTCGGCTGTGGACGCTGTCTGGGCTGCAGCCCTTCCCTGCAGGCTGTGCAGCCCGGTATTCCTTGTGAGGGGCCTGCTGGCCCTTGAGGCTGACATTCCCAAGTCCTGGCACCCAGCGCGAGTTCCCAGCAGCACTGGGGACAGCGGCCCCACTTGCCTGGCCTCCTCTTGGTCACGGGAGCACGGCCCAGCACCAGCGAGGGACGCAGTCGGCCTCTGTGTGCTGTGTCCAC